CTTATGACATTCTTTAGTGTGCCACCAACAGCGCACACCTATTGCACGATCTCAGAGGTAAGCATGTGTGTAGCATACGATGATCCAATTACTGGATACGACAAGACTTATCTTTGCACACTTGTCACTGTTCAGTGTTTTCGTCCATTTGAGCGTCAACTCCTAAAGTTAGGACTCAACCGACATTCAATTCTAAATGTAGTGCGGTTTCCTCGTTTTAATTCGATAGCGAATAAAAAGAATATTCCCCAGTAGAAGAAATACACAGACTAATTGGGGATGATCTAGACAGTTTGTTTCACCTGAAAATTACATGACAGCGTACACCCACTTCTAACACTCCAAGTTGCCAATTGTCACTTAGACGGATGGGACTTGGAGCATCCGCGTTTGAACCGCTACCAATTGAGCATGTGTATAAGACGACTCAGAACATTCACGCAGTATGTACGCAGCGATTTCATGATATTCCGGCATGCTAAAGTGATTTTAGAAATTTGAAGAATTTCTTCCCACACACAGACACTGTGAAAACATACGGGAGCAAAATCGATTGATGATCACACAAGGGAGCAGGGAATATGAACTTCACGATATTAGGATAAGAAAACAATATACTACTCATAAGTAAGCTGCATATAAAAAGCGATTTCATTATAAACACTCCAAAGGACCAACGCCATGGTCAGGAAAACGATTGACATATCTGGCAATATAACACTCTGGTGAAATGTGTGATATTGCACCGAGAAAAAAAAACAGGAATACCCACCACTAAAGCATAAACTCAAGGATTTATTTAAACAATGTTTTTTACCTGGACTGGATAAGGCGTTCGGGCCCGGGCATCCCAAACTAAAACCATTCCGTCCACTCCAGCAGAAATCAAAATAGGACTAGGTAACCCGCTTTCGGAACGCTGGAAGGGTGCAGCAAATCGTACGGCATTTACACGACCAGCATGTCGACGCCATCGACGAACCGACTGGCCGGTACTCACATCCCACAACATGACCAGACAGTCAGTACCCCCGGATCCAAGCTGACTGTTATCCGCCCCTGCCTGAGATTAGATGGAGAAAGGGAATAACATTTGTTGTATTTGTGTACTGAGTTATTAGGATGCAAACGAGTTGCATTGACCTCAAGGCAGAAGGGAAAAATCCCCATCTGATATGAGCGAGTAAAAGCTATATTCTAAATTGCGAATTCAGTGTGCACACAGGCGAAATCATCAATGTGACTTTCGTTTCCCTCTATCGCTTAGAACACATGAAAAGTGTGAATTTTACCAATAGGAAAAGGAAAATGATGGAGCATAAAAAACGTGTTCATATATTTCAAGATATTTGAATCGGCCTAAACTGAGAATTTTGAAAACGGAAAACACGCGTAGCTAATGAAAATGGCATTGCCCGTACGACCAGACACAATCTCTCACCATTTAAACGCCTAAGTAAAAATCGACAGAACCAATTTCATCAGACAATTCGTTCAGAGTCTGTCGTTGGGTCACATCCCTGGTCAATCGGAAAACACGCAATATAGGGCAATGAGTTAACAGCACTGGCATTTTTGTTGTTACTTATTGTCAGACCACAGTGCGTGAAAACACTGTTAAAATGTTTTGCTGACTGCGTTTTTCTTTAATTACACGAAAGTGATTACAGTAAAAGAGGCAAACACCATGATCCGAAGATATATTGCAAATGGGAAGGTATGGAGAACATTCAAGCTGGAACCAGCTTGTTGATTCTGCGTCTAAAGACAAGGATGTTATACGTTGGAGGGAAGACCGAAAGAGGGAGAGTGTTCCATATTTGTGCTGTTCAAGGGGAAAAAGATCATTGAAAGTTAGAAATGCGAAACCTGGAGATGAATGGGAGTGAAAAAACGCCTGGCGCGGAAGAGGACGTTGACGACATTGGCCTATTTCGGTTGTTCATTCTCACACAGGTTTATCCACATTAAATATTGCTATTTAACTTGTAAAGACTATGAGCTCCATTAAGACTTAGGGAAATTTACAATAAAATACCTCGATTTATGCGCTTTATGATGAAAAAAGAAACAAGATTTGATGCAGTCTCCAACGTATTGACACAATGATTTTGAGTAGAGTCGGAGAAAAGAAACGTTACAAAAATTCAGCGTGTGGTCAAAACCAATATTTTCGGAATAATATGCGGTGATAATTACTAAAAAGACAGACTCATTTCGGACGCCATGTGAGACTCGTGACAGTAGATATAGGGAGAAAACAGTTGCCGCGATAGTGATGGGGCCATTATCTCCACGGTAGACACATGAGATAAATGAATTCGGACAGAAGTGCAAAGACTTCTGAGTGTACAAGAAGACATCTATGCTTAATTTTCAACGAAACTGAGTACATTAGCGTGTGGAGCGTCAGACTGATCAATAAATCGATTATATAATTTTCCGGTTCGTGAAAAACATCCGATCAAACGGTTTATTTCATCACCAAATGGGAAGAAACAAACAAAATGAGAACACAGAAAAGCAAGATGGAGTGCTCAGTATCTACAGTTCTCTCGCTTCTCACCCATGGCTTACAAACGTGGACTCGTAAAAACTTTGTTCATTGAGCCAGAAACATGTTCCCCAGACACTACGAGAAGAATTCATAAAAAAGTTGCTACGAAACGGTTACCCCGAAAGATTCATTGATATCCATAGTAAACAATCTCAGAAAGGAATCCATCTCCAAGTGTTCCCCAGATAACCGTTTACATCAAACTATCTTTCAAGGGCGATCACCTTCCAAATACTGTGCGCCAAAAGTTAAAGTCAGCTATGAATCGCACATTCCCAGCTGCTCAACTTCGATTTAATGCCTCTACTTGTGGAATCGATTTGGACAAATGTGTACATGGTTGACAATCTAGTTCTGTCTCACACACTGTGTACCAGTTCACCTGCAGTTGCGGTGACGCATACATAGGTAGAACCAACCGTCAAGTATCACACAGCGAATGGCCGAACACATTCCACGGTGGTTGAAGTTGATGGTGCAACCCGTACCAAGTTAACAGGTAGTCACACGTAACCCGGGGTCATCAATTGCAAAGCACCTCATGAAAAGCAAACACATATTTGGTCCCACTTCCTCTTTCAAACCGTTGTTACGTAACTGCAATGCAAAACTTTTGGCAATAAGTGAGGCATTGCTAGTCCGATTACTTCATCCCGTTCTGTGCCCCCAAAAGTTGTTGACCCAATCAGTTTACTTGCTGTGGAGTTGACTGACCTGTCTATGCACCTGTCTATCTGTACACGTCCGTTCACTAGGATTGACAAATCCAATGTGCATGTTTAAGTTACGTTGGCGATTGAGAAGATTAAACGACATATGTCTTCTTTCGGTCTTGATGAGAAAAAAGAGAACACTTGAAGCCGCTGTTGACAAGCGTGTTGAGCAAACCCTCAAAACCTCAATTGGTCGAGACAATTTGTACGCCGGCCGGCACACATGAGCAGTATGGTAAACACACCTGAACGTCAGACACTTCACCTCCATGGCCCGTGTATGTTTTCAACAAGCGACACGTATACGGGTTCCACAGCTTGATTGTTTTGTCCCCACCGGCCGTCATACAGTACATCCCGTCCGAATTGAATCGAGCAGCTCGAACGGCTGACTGGTGGCAATGGATACGGCGTGAGGCCTGAGTGGGAAGTGAGGGGATTTTTCGATCCTGTTGTGCACCTGTAGATCCCATCTGTGATTGAAAGGAGAAATCAGTTGAGGATAGTTTTTTTTTTCGTAGAAATACTATAGATTCAAAGAATGTTTTTTTAATTTTGTGTTCAATAAAGGGAGTAAAAGCCGAAAAACTTCGTGTTAGGACCGAGTGCGCAGACAGACGGACAGTCCTGAATACGTAATTGTATCTCATCAGGCTATTTAGATCGATGAATTCTGACTGCATTCAAACGACTACCTGCTCCTGGATGATAAATCCGTGTGTGAAAACTCAGTGGACTTTTTTTACTTAAAGTATACATTATTCACTTCATGGATCACCAAGTGTACACATGATCAACATAGTAATGATGAAGTGTGAATAGTCCGGAAGTATTGGATATATAAATTCTATTGCAAAACCTATTGTAGGGAATCTCATAATCACGAATATGCACTGTGTGATTATTGATTATCAATTTTACTTGGAAGATGAGTGGACTTTATGAATACCCATAAAGTTTGATCAGAGTGTGGCATAAAAGACATCCCAGTGTCACCCAGCATTTTCTTCGAGAGCACACCCGTAAATGCGGATTGCAATGTATCTATAGTGCTGATTTATAGTTGCCAGTGGTCTGTCTCCTGGGAAGTCATTTATTATTTGACAGATATGGATACGATCCAGGTACAAACGAGTCTTTGTTCGTTGAGCATAGTTCCTCTAGATCCCTCGGACCAATTAGGAGATCTCGACTCGAACATCCGCAGACAATGGCTACTAAGATGGTCAAAGATCTATGTTCCAAGAGCTATGGCGAAAGATTACAGCTCTGGGGGTTATACTCGTCTCAATATCGTCCAATCAGAGACGATATGATCTTACTGTATCGGAGTTTCCAACAGCCGAACTATCCATGTAGNATGTAGATCTCTTTTGGTCCTATCAACCAATATTCATCTCAGAGGGTATCCACTGAAGTTGGCACTCTAAAAGAGCCGTCTCGATTGCAGACGCTATTTGCTTACAATCAGAGTGTGCAGCAAATGGAAATCTCTACCGCCTCACGTGGCCTGTGTCCCAACGTTAGTATCTTTCAAGCGTCAGCTTGATGATGCTCTGGCAAACATCATATTTCAACACCCAACTACATAATATATTCTCCTGTGTTCGTCAAATCATTACATTATATTACTATTTTACTAACATAGACCAATTGTGATCTTGTGAATCGTGTTCCAAACCAAAGTGTAAACACTCTATGGGATTTGATGAGTGAAGTCTTTGTAAGTTTTTCCCATAACAAAAATTTGAATCTGACTACTCGTTAAGCGGTAGCTGTCTACACATGCCATACACGATTTTTCGGGGGTATTTAGGCCTTAGTTACACTCAGTCTAGTTCATACCGTCCGTTCAATTAACCGGACTGTGGCCGCTCCTGCATGTTTCAGTTTATCAGAACCACAGGCGAGAGTTCAGTGAATTATGCACGAAGAGATACGTAAAAATGGCCCAGAAGAAAGTATTGATTTCATCTCCAATAGAAGACGTTTAGGGACGGTCTCCGCGGATGCGATGAGCCAATGGGTTACCCTTAGGCATGATGGCGAGTCGCCTAGCGAGGATTGCGCTACGGTCCATGCCTTTGAACATGCCGAACAGACAACCCTCACTGGCTTCCTGCATAGCGGACAAGGATGAGCTCTAATCCCCGGGGTCACCACTCAACTTCGTAACTTATTTTATTTTATTACATATTTTATTATTACATATTTATTATATATTATTATATTATTATTTATTATTACATATTTTATTAAATACCTTTATGTGATCGATAGCTGACAGGGTAAACCCCATGGTCACGATGACTTTCCGTTCAATCATGAAATCCAGCAACCTAAGCCTCGGAACATTGTGAGGTTCGCTATTTCATTCTCCCGGGGGCATAGGTTGCCGGTTCTTATAAGAAGGGTATAAAGTCATCCTGATCAATGGTTTTTCTGCTCAGTACACGCCAGGGTTATGTACCATCGCATGCAGTCAGATAAAAGGTAAAATACAGCGTCGTAAAATACAGGAGCGAAAGGTGGCGTGGTAATGCGAACATGAATATTATTTACCTAAGAATTTTGAGTAAGTACTACTTGTGCGGTAGATGAGTTTACCAAACTGATGTAGAATTGCAGTGTTTAACTCTGAGACCTGCAAATAGTCTCTGAACGATCGTGTTGTTGTTCTGTCTAGACATACTATGAACACGAGCAGCTCTTCCTTAATTCCCAAATACACGGGACAGATAACAACGGCCAGTATCAGTTTTATGATCATGATACGGTACGCAAATAGAAGCGGGTAAGTTGCAAGTACGGAAACGACATGATGACGCACCAATCAGATCGCGCCCTTGAAATTCCGACCGGACGACAGCTGTCTGTTTCGTCCTAGTCATCCAATCAGGAGTCTACTTGCCAATCTTAGCGCTAAACACTGCACTTCTACATCAGTTTAGTAAAAGTAGTAGTACTTACTTACTAGTTACACTTACTCAACCTTATCGCCGAAAGACATTTTACCTCTTGCTAAAAAGTCTGCAACAATATTCTGTCAGACGTCACTCATCCATTACACATAGAACTTTAGCAATGTTTATCCACCTTCGTAACCAAGTACTACTATAAACTTGGGTATACTCGGACCACTGCCTACCAGTTATCCGGTATTCCATATCTTTCTAGATTTCTGTCACAGAAATTGTCCGTCATAGACAGCGTTTCAAAATTCTTAGGTAAATAATATTCATGTTCGCATTACCACGCCACCTTTCTCTCCTGTATTTTACCGTCGCATTGCACGAGTCCGGTGGGGTAACCGGACGAGCAATGTTGAGGTTCGGCGTAGAGTTTTAGGCAGTCGCATTCGTCCACTGGAGCAAGTGATCGACCTTCATGGATTACGTTGGTTGAGGAATGTTTTACTCACGTCACCAAATAGGTTGCCGCGGCAAGCGATGTTTGCCAAGGCTGGTAGAGGTTGAAAGAAAGCCAAGGGTAGTCAAGTTAAGACCTAGCATGAGGGTATGAAAACTCTAAACAGGAGACTAGGTCCCGTTAGGCTCTCCGGTTGGGGACTCAGAGATCATGGTCACCGACGGTTAGAGACACTGAGTGATATGGCTGGGTGTCGCAAACAGTGGTGGTCGTGCATTCACTCATTTTTCTCCGAAAGTCACTATTCTACATCTTCCGCTTGAATTCGTTTTCAACATTCCAAGCTTTATTATGCTCTTTTATCCAAACGGGCGGCCAAAAGACAGTAACCAAAACCGGCGCACGAAATTGCATGGTTAGTGATTGTTAAAACGAAAAAACAACGAAACTAGTTACAAAGGATTAGTAGTGGCCCCGGGGATTGGAGCTTAAGAACTGATATCACTCAAACATTGCCAACCTAATCCACGGTTCGAAAGAAATCTGTGATGGTGGCCCGGTGGTCACGTTACCAAATTATCACCCCGGGGATGTGTTCGAACCCCACCACCCTGTGTGTTGAATGGCAGCCCTCGGATTGGCCGCTCCCCTCCCTCCTGAAAAATTGTTGTATCTTTGTATATTCAATAAAAGTAAAATGAAAAAAAGAAAAGATGACTGACATCCTCCCACTGTTAATATAAAGCATAACTTTACGTGGCAACTATATGCTACTTTCTGTCCATCATATGGAATGATTACAGACACAAAGGTTCTTATTCTCTGCGCTGAATACACTCCTATGTCATGAAACTTTTTAAGCTTTCTCGTAAATTTACAAGGAAATGTTTGAGTGCGAACCCAATAGATGTCATAGTATAATTTATGATAGGTCTAAAAACATCTTGATATAGAAATCAAACAAACACCGGTGGTACACCTGGGTCCCATTCGCTAATTTGTCCTTCATTACGCCCACTTTGCCGTTCCTATTACACACAAAATAACTAACCTTTCGCTTGTGTAATTCAAGCAACGTGTATTTTGTATCCTCTAAAGCACTCAAGGGGCATTCATGTATATTCAGAGAGAGCACATTTCCCTTTGCAGTGCAATACAGTTTTACGCCTATGAATGCAACCTTCGCGCTGTTCTTGTTGTTGTCTGATTTGACGATTGCGGAGTTAGAACTGGACGTGGAAAAGCTGATTTGCGAGACGCAAGACACCTCAAACACAGAATTACAAATGTCAGAAATCCCGGTAAATACCGAACCTGGAAATATACTAAGATAGAATGCGTCTTTTAATCCGGCCAGATGACACGCAATCCAAGACCGGTTATATTCGTCTTTCCAAAAGCCGTCCTGTCCATGTGCATGACAATGGAGTTCATCTATTTCAAAAGATGTGCAACAAAACACTTAATTTTTTTAGTTATAACTGGAATTTCATTTGTCAAATGAGAACACTCAACAGTTATATACCTCTGCGTCGCCAACATTCCAATCGACAGCCAATTTGGCATAGTTTAGTATTGTTTGTGATGATAGCGAGTACGTTCAACCTGATCATATATATATATATATATATATATATATATAAATGGTATCGGA